CAGGAAACAATTGATGAGTCTGACCTTTACCACCCCATTTGCATGTATGGCAACCAGACCTCTGCGGATTACCTTTGATCTCAACATTTCCTCCGGTGCTAGCAGCTGCCTCCAGGGCAAGTTCTTCATTGGCTGACTATTTAGCAGACATGGGATATATTTCCCAGCTGTACTGTCCAATGCCCTTCCCCTTGCTGACAGCTACAAAATGGAGAAGACATAAATATGTTCCCTGGAAAAACTATACCACCTTGGGTAAAATGTTGGGATGGAAAGAAATAGCTTCAAGCATTTCATTCTGCATTTACTCCAAGAACAGAGTGCCTACAATTCCAACAGTCTTCCAACAAGACATGATAGCAGATTATCACATTACAAACAGCTACAGCCCCTCCCAGCTCTCAGTGAAAGGCATTTCAGCTAACAAGCTTTACTTTTGTCTTTGCTATCTACCAGAGGACAGAAATAGTTACCACAGCAAAGCTGATGAATGACAAGTCACTATCTTGTCTGAGCCAGAGAAACATGACCAACAAAAGTGGGATAAAATCAGACTGGGCATGCTTAATTAAGTCTTCATTAATAACCTTCTGAAATCTATATATATCGCATACTCTTTTTTTTTCTATTTTCCCTTCAGGAAGCATTTTGAAGTCCTCACTGAGGAAACCCCCACTGGAATCTACGACAGTTTTCCAGGAATCAGAATTTGCACAGGTCAAAATTAAAGGACCATGCTGTTACCTTTTAGCTCACATCATTAAAACAGATAATATGGCATTGTCTATCTTGTAAAGTCAACATAGAAGAAATATTTATCTAAAAGTAATTCATAAAGGTACAGGAATTGTTATTTTCTCATCCAACTAAAAATTGTGGCATAATACAAGCTGCCTGTAGCTCATATTAGCATTATCCAGGCTCATGCTACACATTAGACATGGCCTATGAAACACTCTAACCTCAAGGCAAAGCAATTCTTAATATCAAATGCTCACACAAAGACAGTTCAGGGTTGTGAAAAATACTTCCCTCCAACCTCAATTTCCACCTTCACTTTGTCATATGCTAACAAAGATAGCATTAATGTCACAGTTCAAAAACTAATGCTTACCTAAGAATATTTTCCCTTCTCTGCCAAAATACTCTATTTATTATTCCCACTCCAGAAGAGAAAGCATAAAGTTATTCTTTATATAGTCAAGGAAATTCTGCCTTAAAAAGTGCTGACAACCTAGAATGTGGGCAAATTTATCAATTTATTGCACATAATACAGACAATTCAAACACTACCTGCAAAAATCCATATGGATGTACCCCTGCTTACTGAAACTAGTATATTGGATGACCTATTTATCCCAAGTTATTGGAAGATACTTAGAACCTTCAGAAGAAGACAGCTTGTAATAAACAGGAACTAAATCAAACAACATTCAAATGATGGGGAATGAAATATGATTTTGGATATAACCCTGGGTAGAAATACTTAATGACTATTTATTAGATTGGGCTTCTTGCAGAAACAGGCAGGGGAAATTTTAGAAGCGCCCTGTACAACCCCAGCTGTTCTTATTAATGTCAACAACAGCACAGCTTTCTGTATTTCTGAAAATTCCGCATATTACAAGTGTTTCTCACAGTACAAGTTTTTATAGGTGAGCTTCTTTGTTCTAATTGTTTATCAGTTTAGGAGTACACACAGAATCCAAAGGATACACAGGCTTCAAAGGTATACACATTGAACTGATCAAGCTAATAGAAGAGATAAAATATCACCTTCTGGAAATATTATCCTTTATTTGCCAAGAGTGGTGACAATGTTTAGAATGGGATACTCCAACCAAACATATCTGATGACTGTGATTAGGTAAGCAATACTATTTTAAGCACTAAGAAAAGAAAATCATATTTATACACATTGCATTGTACATTTACTGGATCTAATTATGGTTTTAATAGAAAAGCTGATAAAACAACATTCCAAGCATGACAAGGGCTGTATCTCTGCTATTAAACCAAATGGACCTGAGAAAACTCTAGGCATTGAAGCCAGATAGCATGGAAGAGACCTTGTTTAGTCCGGTAAAGACTCTTAGTCTCTACAATGTGACAGCTGAGTACAAACTGGTCCCTGGAACTTCCCAGCTTCAAAACCATGCTGAGGAATTGTCTGGAAGTAATCTAGATGGCACATGCCGAAGTCATGCCAGAGGACATTCTAACAGTTTGCTAGTACAGATGATGTTGGTCCAGCACCCAGGAAGACTCCTGGATACTTCTTTCTGGTTTTCTAGAGCAAATATAGCCGCAGAGGCTGTCAGCATCCTAAGAGATTACCAGAAAAGATCTGATACAAATCAATGTTAAAACCAAAGATACAGATTGGAAGAAGCAACCACAGGACAGAATAAAAGTAATTCCAGGTTCAAAACAAAGGGTTTGGTGAAGACCATGCCATTTACAGAAGATCAGATAGTAGCCACAGTACTTCTTTCAGATACATTATAATTAGCATAGTCATTGACTCAAAATCATGCTACTATAACTCACTATGCTGAAGAAAACCAGAAGATTATCCCCTCTACTACTGGAGACTACTGAAGACTATTTGCTTGTGGTGCCACTCTAATTGAATACAGCACATTCATGTATTCCACAAAGTATAACTCAACATGATGGCTTTGACTTATGAGATTCTAAATGCAATGAGTCTTAGGTTAATAAAAAACCACAAAACAATAACCAAAAAACCTTTGTTTCATTAAATGTGTCATAGCAATTCAAAAGCACAACATACATTTATAAAGGACACAGTATTTTTGAGAAATAATCTCTCCATTCAGAAATTCTTTCCAATTTGCTGTGATGGAACTAAAGTCTACAAAGGAAAACCTTCAAAAGTTACCTGTTCTGATTTCAAATAAAGGTTGAAACTTAGGAATTCAGAACTGAGATGGAAGGAAGGAAGGTATCACTAATTCTAAACTGAATAAAAGATTTTATTTTTCATTTATTGTCTAATTTAATATAGGATATTATTTACCCATTTTCTATAAAACGAACCATATGTGCTAGAAGGGGGAATATCTGTATGTTTCAGGAAGAGCTCACATGTAACCAAGAAAGCCTGAAACAACAGCTCTAAGGTGTAAACTATCATCACATTAATCTCTGTGGATGCTACTTAACCTGCTGATTATGCTTTAGAATTAGAACCTAAGCACCAAAGCGTTCCTAAGAAAATAATTATGTTATGAAATGTATATAACAGTCTAGTGAAATACTCTTTTGGGAGAAGACAGACATTGATCTGACTTTTCTCTAGAAGAAGAGACGTTTGGACTCAAGTCCTCAAAAGCTCAAGAGGGCTCTAGGCTCTAGTGAGTATCACATTGGTTAAAAGCCTCTCTTCCCATGACTGACCTAGCATAGGTATACAGATCCAGAACAGTGTTCCCAGCTATTACCTTCGAGCAGAGACGGATATTTTTCTACAAGATGACTATTTTGAGGGATAAAATTTAGGCTATACTCTTTTCTCTAGTATTTCCTACTGTCTACTTAGACAGCTTCCCACACAAAGTACTTCTGGGACCAGGACCTGGAGGACAACAAGTTGAGCATGAGCCAACAATGTGCCCTCACAGGCCATAGATTTCTTGGAATTCATTGGCAGCAGATCTAGGCACTGGTGAGAGACCACCACTGGTTGTAGGCTCCCCAGTAAAAGAAAGACATGGACATACTGGACTGAGTCCTGCAAAGGGGCTACAGAGATGATAAAAGGACTGGAGCGTCTGTCATACAAGGAGAGCTTGAAGAAGTTGGGTCTCTTCAGAAGTTGGTTCTCTCTTCTTGGGAGAAGAGAAGGCTCAGGCAAGTATTACCAATGTGTGTAAATACCTGATGGGGTAACTAAAGAAGATGGAGCCAGACTGTTCTCAGTGCTGCTCAGTGAAAAGACAAAAAGCAATAGGTACAAACTGAAACACGGGAAATTCTGTTTAAACCTAATAAAAACCTTTTTTTCTGTACAGGCTGCCCAGCGAGTTTATGGGCTTTCCATCCTTGGAGATACGGTTCTAGGCAAGCTGCAGAAGCTGGCTCTGCTCTGAGCAGGGGCATTGGACTAGACAATCTCCTGAAGTGATTTCATGAAACCTATTGTCAAGTATACAATCTTTTAAAATATTTCTCCCTTCATTCTACCAGTAATGTTGAAATACCATTATAAGTATGCTAAAAGATGCTGATCTACTTGCAATGACCTGTTAAAAACGTATACATTTTTAAATTATACAAATAGATTAGAAAACCATGAATTAGACTGAACTGTTTCTACATTACTGTTTTAAAGAGCAACATAAAATGAACTGGGAGAAAGAGCTGCATAAATACCCTGGAGTAAAACTAGAGGTTGTAATCCTAAGAATGGAAGCACAACATGAACAAAGCTGTTCTCTACAAAGGCTGAATATCATATCTATTATATGTTAGGTACAATCTGCTTTAAATGTCAAAGTTGTTTAGATAAATATTAAATGGGCCTCATTTTGACCATGTCCACTAACACTTCTTTATGATACTGAGTGTAATTGAGTGAATATTTGCTTTTAAGAAGGAGTTTTTTATAAGATTGTCTGTGAACTCAACACTTAGCAGAAAGTGACAAGGAGCAGAGAAAAGAAATTATCCGAATATCCCATTTGGGACTGAGTGCTTATCACAGATATTAGCTCCTGACCTCGGGGAAAAGATAGGAGGCACTTGACATTGATGTTTATACTGTATTCTCCTCAAAAGCCTAAAAAAGCTTTACTATATGCCTTCTAAAAATCTTGAGCACCAAAACAATGTCACGAAACAAACACACATAATATATATTCTTTCACTGATATAATTAGTAGTAATATATTGCATTCATACAGCAGTTTCCAACCTTGTGGCGTTACATTTTGTTTCCGTTTCAAGCACACAATGCATTGGATTGCTTTACTTACTAGTAGCAGTAGCAGGACAATATCAGGATTATCACAGGCACAGGCTACATGCATTGATGTCCAAAAATCCTCATCTTGATGATTTACATTTACTCCTCTGTCAATTAGAATTTCTGCAGCAAAGGCATTATCGTAGCGTGCACACTAGAAGAAAGCAGAGCATATTAGGGATGGTGTTTTACTCAGTGTACAACTGAATATATCACATACAATTTTTACTCCATTTAACATTTAAATTGAGCAGATGATGCACTATAGTTAAACTGCTGTGTTTGTAGCGGACAACAGCTGATGAATCTACAGAAATAGTTTTGTGGAGATTACAAGTTCCATGTGCATGACTCACAGAGTCCCCTATTCCCTGTGAAAAAACACTATATAAAATCTGCTGAAATCTACAGTAAAAATAAGGTTTTCTTTCTGTTCAATGTTGTCATTCTATAGCAATGGACAGGCGTCAGTGCATGACGATCACATCATAAGCAGGGGCATCTAAGTACATGTACACCCACATGTACCTATGTCCACACGTATGTGAATTTCTGCCCTTTATGCAGTTCATAGCAATAATACACACCTCTTCATAACCACTGCTATTTCCAATCCACTAACTGTACTGATTCCTATTCAAGTCTCTCTGACAGGTAAGTACTCTGCACACTAAGGGTGTATTAGGGGCGGGGAGAAGGGTGGTTTGCACCCATGTGTATTTGTATACTCTGTTTTGTTTTGTTTTGATGATAGAGGTCACTAATTTTGGCAGAGAAGAAGAAACTGCCTTAGCTATTGTTTTGAGCTTACTCCTCTGTCACATCTGTGACTTTTTATGGATGTGTTTATGGATAATACTTTAAAAGACAATCAGAGCATCTAAGTCAAGTTCTAACTCTGGCCTAACATACAATCCCAGTAACTCTTTAGAGAAGGATCCTTTCTGTTTCCCCACTGGAAAGAGGCTACAGGGAGAGTAATTTTCTGTATTAGATACTTAGATGATTCAAATATAATCCTTAATATCTATGCCTCTTCCAATATTTGAAGCTGTGGAATATTTCCCTGTCCCAAAAAGCTCACATACACACTGAGAGTGCAAATACAGTGAAATCTGCAGATAATTTGCAAGTGGGGATTAAATAATCATGTCGTTATGTCTGTAGCCCATGTGGAACCACACCATGGCATCCAGTTTGCTGTTCTCTATTAATTTGCCATGGAAGCCAGGACACTGGAGGAAAAGGGGAAGAAGCAAAAAGGCTTAACTGGATTCCACTGTGAAGTCAAGACATAGGTGAGATATTCAACTGAATGCAGAAGCTGCATGTACTACTGTGACTATAAGTATAGATAACTCGGAAGATGAAAATTAAACTCTATGAGGCTAAAAAGCAGTCCTGCTTTAAATGATTTCCAAACATACTGACCATTAGATTGTAGAAGAGAAATTAAGTTCTGATGTATTTCCTTTAGCTTGTAACTTATCTGACAGCTCTAGAAACAGATGCTTTGTTTTGTTGTGTCAGTATCATTCAGTATATCAGTAGTATAACTTACATTGAGCTGTTCAATGTTCAAATTTTAACAAATCAGAGATAAGACATTTTAAAATACAGACAAACATGATCTCATACCAATCAGATTTTCAAGGCATTGATAAGCAAAAAATTTTCTAGAAAGCTTCCATACAAAACAAATGATAGATGTCACTGAGCCATTTTGTGTATTAATAGCAGATATAGAGCCTTTTGTGATTAGTTACCAGTTTGAAAACAGCCTAGATTTGTAGCAGCAACTTAATTGCTGCTGCTCCTTGATTCTTCTTTAATGGAGTTTGTGAAGCAATTGGGCAATCTCAAAGTTCCAGGAGAAAACTGGCACTCATATACTTTTTTACTAGGGCAGGTTGGATGATTGCCTGCATGAATTGATATGACACTATTTGCTTCCCAATGAATGGGAAACTCAGACAAGTACTTTCTTTTTTGGTACTTCTCCTCTCATGGAGTTTAATGAGAGTTCAGTGAATACCTTTGAAGCTCCCATGGCTTCTCTGAGATTCAACTATATTGGGATACTCTCTACAGAGATAGCAACAGAATCTTTACGAAGTGTCACATTAGATTTTAATTTTTTTTAGAAATATATCACATTTTGGCAGTCAATAGAAATGGGAAAAGAAAAAGGAAGTATATCACGAGTCAGATTTTAAGTAAAATGTGAACATAAATATATTTTCCATTCATTCTGGAATAAAAACTTTTACTCTACAACTGGAAAGAATAAACACTGATCAAGCTTCCTTTTTGAGAAAGCAGCTTACATAGAATTACAGTGGTAAAACTATTAGTTAGAATGGATCTGAGTGGGCTTTAAAAATATAACAAAGATGTATGCTAAATTACTATTTTGAGTTGTTGCAGGAAAATAAATTTGGATTATCTGTTTCCCTGTATCATGACTCTCCTATCTGTACTGCTCCCAAATCAGGGTCAAATCCAAGTTTCATTGATATCTGGTTTGCTCCCATCTCCAATAGGACCAGTATTTTCCTGTGGATGAATTATGACTACTTACAAGTAACTCAGACTAAACTGAGGCAGCAGATTACATACAGTTGTCTATTGGAAATATCTTAGCGCAGGAAGCTTTCCCTCCTTTTGAAGCATATATGCATCTGTGAAGCAGCAGGCACCAGTGGAGAGACACTGAGTGTGACCATGAACTGGGGTGTAATGCAAAAGATCAGGAAATGTAAAAAGCCACAGTTCAACTGCAGATTTTATCTGCAGTTAAAAAGTGTGCATCAGCTGAACCAGACAAAGCAACCTAAAATCCCTAAGGTGGATCGTTCTTTCTCCTATTTTAAAATGCCAGTGAGACAGATGCCACATCAGCCATACTGATTGTCTCCTAGGGCTGCAGCACAGGATAAAATTTGGGATGCCTTAGTTTTGAGAATCCCAAAAATAACATCTCGTATGGGGTGCATTTTTAAAGAGTGATTGAGCACCTTTGTAGCAGGCAAATATTTGGAGGAGAGGAAAGAGAACTTAAGTTTGCTCTGTTCCAACTCATTACTGCACCTTCCCCTTACCTGGGTCTCTACTTCCCAAAGTTGTTGGTAAGCAGCATGGCCATGGAAGATGGAAAATACAGATTAATTACACAAGGGAAACACTACATCTTGCAAGAGCATGGTTGCAGGTGTGCTGGAGTCCAGTAACATTGCGGGATCCTTTTTTTTCCATCAAGAAATCGCTCTATTTTGTGTACGTTCTATGAGAAACTTAATTCAACCGTTCTAAAATGAAACACTCTTCCAGAGACTTTTCACTAGATGTTATACCCTTGTATTTGTGAAGTCACTTTTATTCTAGCAGCATTATGCAATGAAGTTGGATCCAAATATCTTAAAATTGTTTCACATTGAATAGAAAGCATGTCTGCAATTAAAGCATCACAGACCAAAGTAAAGGATCATAAGACTTAGGAATTTATGATGAGTTTTGGCATTGACTTCAGCAAAGCCAAAATTTTACCTCCTCAGTATTTCCTTTCTGTTTGCCTGTCAATCTTTCCTCCACATGCCCTTACATCTTGCTTCTCTTTTGGTCATTGTATACAAACTGTTTTCCTTTTATCTTCCAGCTACTTAATCTAAATTGCTATGCAAATAATGATAAATTAAATGCAGATAATGTGTTAAATATCAACATATAGGAAATAGGTGCAAGAAAATATGCACAAAGCCAAAAGGAAAAATGTTACATCGTGGTGTTTTTCACATAGTATCTGTGAATCTCTGAACCATATAATTCTATCTTCAGAATCAAGCAATATTTCCTTTGTTCTTTCTTACTGCACAGATAATTTATAAATAAAACATTTCATTCTACTCTGTTAGTTACCATTCCTATGACATGATCCATCCTTTCGTAAGCAATTTGAAAACGACCATTTATTTCACACGCATAGCTGGATGCAATCATAATCACCGTGGAGGGCAGTGTAGATAAAAAATTATTGCTAAGCCTTTCTTTTTGTTAATATGCCCAATCTGCTACTCAGTATCCCACCACTTTTATCCACAGTCACTAATGCTAATCTTCAATCACTCTTACCAGATGGAGCAAGGAGCCTCCTGAGGAAACTAGTGTATGAGGGTCAGTACCATCCTTCAACAGCCGTAGCACTGAAATATCAAAGAAAAGAGGAATAAGAATTAATGCAGCAATACAGCTAATTCTGAGCTGTTAATAGGCTGATTCTTCATCATCTTCATTAAAAGATTTAATAATATATGCAAACCTCTCAGATAACATTTGCAAAACTATCATGTCAGCGTTTCCCATCTCATCTGTTTTAATGGCTAAGCCCGGAAGCAAAGGACCTTTGATAATGATGTTAAATATGAATGGTATCAAGGACTTCTCAAGCGGACAGATGAGCATGTCAGTTCCATACACAGGAGAGGGGAGGAGAGAGCTGGAGGAGAGACCCTTTCTCAAGGTCACAATCGCCTGATAAATTCATCTGGGAGCAAAATCACAGTCAACTGGTTTTATTTTAATTTGTAGCATTCCCATGAGATTTGTTGGCTTTTTCTGTAAATAATTGAAACCAGTGTTCACAACTTATATCACTTGAAATTAATCATTGTACTAAAGGTAAACGATCTGCACTCAATTTAACCTTTCCAGTGCATTGTCAGATCACTGACACAGCATAATTCTTAAAATGATACTTGGAGTCAAGCTCCACTCCCAGTTACATGTATCAAAACCCTTTGAAATGAAAACAGGCTTATAAAGCCAAGCAAAACCACAACCCTTCATAGTGTTGTTCAGTCAAGTGTGAAAATTTGGCACTTTTTCCCCATGGTCTTTATTGCCTTTATAATCTTTTCGCTCGGATTTAAAGCACTGACTAACTCATGCTACCAGTTTTCATTCCTGGAGCAGAATTGCACAGTAACAAGGCCAGACATTATCTGGGGAATCCGCACCAGCATTGGAACCCTGTCTTCACTAAACTGGAAGCAAGAACCCTTTTATAAGGCCTCCCTCCAGGAGAATAGGTGCCAATAATATTTCCTGTGTGGGAACACAGCTGGTTCTGCCTCCATCGTCTGGAAATCCTGGTTTTAATTCCCAGTTAACATTCCTGGATGGAGTTGTATAAAGGTCTGCATAGAAGTTTTAATTTTTGAGTAGCCCAGAAATCTGTTCCACTGCAGTGTCTGTCCTACAGGAGGGCCATAAATTTGTCTCAAAGCTCTTCGAAGTTCTGCAGATCTCTCAAGAGACTCATGGACACCCTCTCCTCCTTATCCATGCATTTTTGGCATATGTTTTCTTTCCCTCTAGAATATCTTGTAACTCAATTTTCACTGTACATTTAAACTTCTTACAGCATTCAAACATTAAGTTGACCTATTTGAAAGGAGTTCGTGTTCTTTTCAGATACTGTCAATTTACACAAGCAATGTTTTCTTAATATGTTTTTGGCCAGGTGCCTGAGAAAAATTCAGCCTAAGAAAGAAAATTTGGCTAAATGGTTGCAAACCTGTAAAATGAAAGTGAAAGAATAGGAAGGACATGGCATCGTCATTACTAAATACACAGTAAACACACTGGTATATTGGACAAATATTTGTAATAGTTATACAAATCCATTCAGTCTTTTCTCTTTTTTAAACTTTGAAAATCAAACAACAGTCCAAACCATTGTATAAATTCCTACTTTATAAATAGTTCCATGGTACCTATTTCTCCTCACCAAAGGTTTAGTTTCATTTAGTTTACATAGCTGTAAAAGACCTTTATGTTCTGGCAAAGGCCACTTTGAAAACTAACTACTATTAGAAGTCACTGTTGTCCCCAGCACGTCCACCAAAAGTAGAAGTGGAACATTAAGTAACATGGAATAAATAAACTGCAACAATTGCCAAGCAAGATGAAAAGCACTGAAGCAGAGCAGGAGAGTAGAGAAAAATTTATAAATTTTCATAACCTTGGGAAAAATGGATGAACGACAAAAAGCAAAGTATTTCTTTCTGCTCTAAGATCCACCAATCCAATACTAAAATACAAAATTGTCCTCATCCAGACAAAGAACACTAAAAATAAAGGTTCAGAAGTAAGTTCCTTCCATTCAATACCTAAATTGCAATTGCTGACCACATAAGGGGATGTTTCCTCTACCTCAGGTTTTTCTGAGTAAAGATCTTATTGCAAATCCTTCCTCCTTAAATAGGTGTGCAACCACATCCTCCTCAAGACTTAATATTTTCAATGGTCCTATGTTATGCCATTTCTTTAGAAGGCCAGAAAATACAAACTCCATATCACAGAAGATTTCTTAAGGATCTGAAAGTAATTTCATTCTGCCAATCCCATCAGGATTTCACATGAAAAAAATTAACAGTCCAAGTTGTTACCCTTCCTCCATCCCTGCTTTTCAGGGGGAAAAAAAAAAAAAATAAAAATCCACCCATTTCAGTCTCCTATGCACTTAATATAGTATTTTTATGCAGCATTCTTTCTTATGGACTCTGTGTGTAAGTTAAAAATGTGAACTATGGCTTGGTTCCACCTCCAATGATAGTCTCATTTGCAAATAAGGGATTTAAGGTAGATAGTGCTTAAAAGTGTGATTTGCAGGGATTATTAAACTGCCATAATTCTGTTCTCAACGAGGCTTTAACCGATGACATTGTTGAGCATATATAATTCTTTGAAAATGCCGTCTTTGTAGTGTACTCTTGCACACTGCACTGTTGTCAAAAGGGGGAAGGCATATGTCCTGGTTTGAAGTAAAATGGAACCAATTTTGTTCAGTAACTTTGCTTCTTAGCTGGGCCTCTCTTAACTACTGAAATTAACAGCATATTGTGCA